CTTACGCCGTTCGATACTTTATAAATTTTTAAGGCATTGTATCATATTTCTTATCGAGATTTTTTTAATCTGATTGGTAATAAAAGATTAAAGTATCTACCAAAACAGAACATGTTTTTTTGCTGCAAAAAGGAGTTGTATCCTTGTTACAAAAGAAAATATCAATCCAATTTTAAGCTTTATAATAACTTGCAGTAATTGCGGTTAATTTTGATAGCTTTACTTCAATTTTTAATTAGCTATGAATTGAAAGGAAAAAAATCGAAGGATTTCATCAAATGGGAATTGTAGCTTTTGGGGAGTATGCTTGTGGACGAGGTTCTTTTACTTACAATTTCTTGTTCCAAGGCAAAGACGTAGTGATTAAAAAATTTGTGTAATTTTTCGTTGGTGTAATTGATGCAGAGTTGTTCGAAAGAGTTAACGGCAAAATTTTCGAAGCCGAAAATATCGAGGACACCAAGGAAGCGCGTGGAATCCTGTCCAGGATTTGTGCAAGTGTTGATATTGTTAATGAGCCAGGCAAAAGTTCGAGAATACAGAGCTTTCGCCATTGCGTGTCTATTTTCTCTCGCCTTAAACATAAACAATTGTTGTAGGTACAAACGACAAACAGATCGAGGAGAAAAGTACAATATACACTTACTTCCTGTAATTTCAATGGTATTTCCGTGATGTTTCCTCTTACGTTTATTTGTCTCCTGAGAACCACTTGCGTGAGATCTATTACGTCCATTCCTAACAAACTGGCCACAACACTGAGAATTTCTTTGTCTTCGTTAGTTAATTGACATTTTTCGCCGTCAATATCCTTTATAAGATTAAAAAAATGTTGAGAAAATTGCCTACGACTGCGATGAGGGGGTATTCCATATAAAATCAAAGCTTTACTTTTCCGTTGTTGTGATGATTTACTGGTTGTTTTGCAATACACGGTATTTTACTTTAATTTATTGTTAGACATTAAAATATTTCAAAAGTGAACTTGTTTTTTGGAAAAATTATTTCCTATGTGAGTATAGTCTCTATAAAAATTCGGAATTTAATTTTGGAAATTTTAGTTTTAAAAATTAGCAATTGCTAACTTCCAACAACATCGAATAAATAAATAAATGGTTAAAGTACAGATGATACGATCTTCTCCTTCTGTAGGGTTTTCTCATTCTCGAAGGGGATAGAGGGAAATCACTACTCATCAAAATCTAATCTTTTGTGTGTTAGGGGGGGGGGTGGCATCTTTTGTCCACCATAACCTAATCTATTGTCAGTTATTTGTGTAGGGAGAGCGCAGGAACATTTACCCGTCATGGTTTAGTCTTATCAACCAAAGAGAAAAGATATATAGTTATGGTGGGTAAAAGTTCTTTCCTCTGCCCATAAAAAAGGGAAAAAGGATTATGCCATGGCGGACAAAACTCCCCTCTCTTCCCCACACAAAAAAAATGAGAAAACTCGACCGATAATTCCATCATCTAAATTTATTTATTCGATGCATCACCTAAAAATATTTTGTTAATGTCCTACAAGGCCATCTCTACCCTCCCCTCTACATATTCTATCCTTTCAGATCGACAGTTACTTCACATATACAATTTTTAATTTTCATCTTCATCCCCTGGTTTAATATATGAAGCAAAGATGTGTCTCCCCAATCTTAATCCATTTTTACTCCTAGAAGCCCCAATTTCAAATAATTACGCCAGATTCTTATTTTAGATCATTATATTTTGACACAAACATCCGGTGAATTATTGCGAACATCGGAAAAATAAAGGATCGATTTCATATGTGGAAAAAATTATTATCTTACTTGAAATTCTAAATTTCCCAGCCACAGAATTGCAGAAAGAGTTTGAAATATTCCAAAAGACATAGAAGAAGGAATCTGCAAGACGTTAAACGCTAAACGAAGGCTGTCCAACTTTTTAGATTCGCCTTCGATCTTTTCGCAACTAGATTGATTTAAATATTTATAAAACCCGGCATCCTTCAAATGTAACTGATTTTGGAACTCTTTATTGTGCTAGAAACGTAAAAATGTGGAAACAACGGCAACCCCAAGCTTCAAAATCGAAAAATACCTTTGCGCCCTCAACTAAATGATAAAAGACGTGATAGTTTCTTTCACCAGGACCTTGAAAGGTTATTCTAGATTGTTCTAACAAATAATCTTGCACAATACACCCTGCAATCATCCATCGGGAATCGAAACAAACTTGCATGAATTTGCCAAATCGACTGGAGTTATCATTTCGAACAGTTTTCGCATTTCCTGCAAACATTACCTAGTAATAAATTTCCATTAAAAAAATGTTGAAAACTGCTAATCGTACCAAAAGCTTCCAAAATGGTGTTGGCTTCCAATATTTGCTGTTCCACCCAAGCTGAAACGCCACTTGTTACCGAACACAGATATTGAAGAATGAAACGTGTATTTTCGGTTTTCCCGGCCCCACTTTCTCCACTTATTACTAAACTTTGGTTCATGTTGTCGCTTCCGGGAATGTCGCTTTGAAGAGAAGCGTACGCAGCTTCTGCTAAGGCGAACACATGGGGCTCCAAATATCCCAACTTTTGTCCTTGGTATTTGGTCACATAATTCTTCAAGAAGAAAAATCATAAGAAAGGTGATTACACATTGCAGTGTTGTTATGCTAGTGTTGGACTAATATGTAATCACAATGTTAAAGTGTTTTTTCTAAGTTATTGGTCAAAGTTCATTCAGTAAACTAGCAAAATACTGCCTATATCAACTTTGATATAATGTGTTGAGATGCGAGATATTTTTCTTTTGTTGTAACGATTATGAAAAAATTGCAGTAAATAAATATCTATAGGGTTGTTCGGAAAGTCATTTCGTTTTTTTTTTGTGGAAATGAAAGACAGTTTTCGTNAAAAGAAAATAAGTTTTAACTTATTTCTTAATTAGTTAATTAATGTGGTCCATAATAACATTGTTCAGTTTGCTAACTAAATTTTGGGTATATTAAAAAAAAAAGAGAACAGGTTTACAACAATATCCTATAACACTTCGCAGAACAAGGAGCACTATTTTAATCAGGACACCACATGCACTAATACTAGTGTTCATCCTCGTCAACAGTGTTCAAACATTTATTTATTTTTATCAAGCACCTACTTTAACAATTTATTAAGTAATTAATTCTGCTATCAGATTACTTTAAGTTTTCAGTATAAGACGTATAAGATGTATAAAAAAATTAATAAAACCAGATAATCATCAAGATATTAATATCAAAAGAAAATTTTTACTATGCAGGATTATTTCCTAACTAATATAATAAAATGAACATTAATATTTTCAATTCCCATTAGTGTAAATTTACTTATTTTTAAAACATTAATGCTTTTTTAATTCTTACTTGTGGGCTCATTAAAAAATAATTTTCAACACTTACCTTAAATTCATCCTCATTTAAACAGATGCAGAAGACGAACACCACAAATTATTTTAACTTTTTTAGTTTTAGTCCCTCAAACTAGTGCACCTTTAACTTGGTCTGCGAAGGTAACCCTCTTCTAGCTGGGCTGTGGAGGCACCAGAGGAGGAGCTTGATGAAGAGCACTCGTCGGTCTACTTCGGGTTGTTTGGACTTGTTTACTTTCACATGTTTCTTGTAACACTTCCATGTATTCTCTGATAAGGGTAGCGATTTGGAATGCTTGAGCTGTGGTTAAAATAACTTTGCTCTGCTTTCGGTCGCTTCCCGTTATGATCATAAGACAATTCAGGGCAGGCGAATAGCTAAGAATGCTACCGTAATCATAAGTGCAAAGAGCATTTCGAGATCTGTGCTCCAGTAGATGAAGACCCTTTTGGTCTACTGCTAACCATAGAACTCTAGGCCAATTGGAAGTAAATGATTGCTATAAAGGAAAGAAACAGAATTATAGTTAATAAGTTTGTATTCGGACTTTTTTGGTTTAGTTTTAGTACCATTACGTCAAAGATTGTGGCTTTGTGAAGTGGCCAGCTCTGTATAAGGTTTAAGAACGCCTGCTTAGCTTCAGACGGTGTCATTCCCCTGAGCGATTGATGGTGCATTATAACACCCTCTTGTGGTACACTAGGAACTAATCGTGCGGGTAGGCAGTGTGAAGCTATTGGTCGATAGTCTGGAGCCAAGTTGTCGCAATCTCCAAGTTCTAATTGCGCTTGTAATGCTGTAAGCATCATCTGCAAAAGATGCGATATATTTCACATTTTAATTAAAGTTAAAGGTAACTATAAACTCTTACCGCTTCCTTGTCAGTGACTGGAAATCGATCCGATCTTAAATCGTGAAGAACTTGATGGTAGAGTAGTTCCTTTTCAACAGGATCCTGCAGTTTTATAAATTTATCCATGAAAAGGTGCTTTTTGAATAAAAAGAAGTGGAATTGGGGCCTTGTCCTTTTCGTTGTACTAGTGCCGTTCATATTTCCCACCGTTGCTATACGGTACCTCTCCCATTTTGCCATTACATCGGCTACTTTCTCTTCGGCCGATAAACTTCTTTCAGTATTTCCGAGGACTTCATAAATAGCGTATCCTAAAAGACAATAATTACATCCTGAAGTTTAAAAATACAAATGAAAAAAAAAAAAACGTTACCTTTGGCATCTGGTCCCAGCCCAATTTTCTCCTTAATCAGTTCAAGCACCTCTTGAGCAGTCGATGAAGGATGGAATTCAACAGAATGATACTGTCCATCCATGAAATGAAACCGGGCATAAATAGGTCTTCTGATTATTGTACAAATTATCTCTTCTCTTGATGGGGCCCATTGTCTCCTTCTTGTCCCTTGGGTCTTGTACAGGCATTTCTCGGCAAATCTTGCGTATTTACCTTCTTCGGTTACAAAATCGGATGCACAACGTTTCAGATGAGCTATAAGGTATCTTCTTATGGCTTTATTGGGTGGCAGCACAACAGAACAAGCCAAAGAAAGCAATGCCCAATGTCGGAGGTTGACTCGCGAATTAGGATCGGGATGGTCAGTCGTTTGCTTAATGAGTTGGAGATAAAGTTCACAAATAAGAGATTCTTTGCGCATACAACGTTCCAAGATATTCTGCAAGAGAGAAACGTGCTCATCTTCTGCCCTACGAATCGTTTCTCCTAAAAAAAAAAAAAAAAAACAAAAATAATATTGGATAAGATTAAATGAGAAAAATTAATTATTCTACCGTTTTGTCCCAGTCCTGCGTATGTTAAAATAACTTGGAATATTTGTAACATGATCTGTTCTTCAGGTTCAGGTAATCTGCTAATAGTTTGGGTCAAAGGTTGTCTGCTAAATGCCCAAAAAGTGTAATGGAAACCTTTGTACGTTTCTCCGCTATCTCCGCCGTGTTCTTGTCTCAGTTTGTCAAGTTTGTGCTTGCTCAAACGTCTCAAGGTATTCCTTAAAAAGTTACCAGAAGAATCGGCAGGTTTTCTGAGCACCTCCTGGTCAATCAATTGCCGTCTGCAGTTTACCAAATTGTGATACAGACGAATACGATCTTCGTTAGTAATCCCTAAAACGAGAAATTGATTCAAATTATGTAATCCTTTCAACACAATTATTTATTTTACCTTTCACTTTTTTATTAGATTCGTTTTCGGTGACCCAGCAGGAAAGTGAAGGATAGTAGCTGGCTATAAGAGATCCAATTTCATTCTTCTGCGACGTTTCGAACACAAAACACTTGTGGTGGCTTTCATTCAGATGCCTTTGGAAAGTTATCGTTATAAAACTATCGCTAGGATCTATAAGTATGCTTTCCACTTCTTGATAACGATATTCGTTTAGTACAAATTTGTCATCAGGCTTTATGAACATTATTCCTTCATTGTTAATACCTAAGACCAAAGAATTGCCATATGACCAGTAGCCTCTGTAAGTGACGGGGTACATTGTTGTTCCATAAAGAGGATACTGCATCACGCAGGATAAGTAGAGGGCTTTTGCAGTCAATTCGGATCGACCAGCGCCATATTGCTTGTGCGCTTGTGCTAGAATCGGTACCCAGACGTCATCTCCACGTGTCCTACTGATCCTATACGGAAGATAGGTTTCTACGTCCGTGTAATATTCGGGTTTGTTATTGTCTTTTGGATCGCCTAATGCTACCTGAGCTTGGAGGCCAGCCAATTGGAGGGCAACTTTTTCTGTTACAGGGAAATCGTCACACTAAAATTTAAATTGGTTGTTATTAGCGTAGCAAATGTAATTTTAAATGTAAATAAATAGTTACCTTAACTACACTATGTACAGCCTGGGCATATAAAAGATTAACTTCGACAGGGTCCTGACTTAATTCCTTGTTGGTTTTAAAGAGACGTCTTTTAAATATAAATTTATTGTCTCCCCCACTTAACGCGGTTCCACTTCTACGACCAATGGTCGAGAAACTTGTCACAGGGAATTTATTTTGTTGCCTATTGAAAAGGAAATAAAATAACAGTTATTTTATTTATTAATAAGCACCTACTGTTGTTCCCAAGAGGCTATAACGTCGTACAGATAGTAGTGTGACCTAACGTGTTCTTCCCCATCTGGTCGGTTCTGGTATATGGCCCATCCATCAAGGGTACGTAAACCTAGTCTGTCAGCGAGCTTTTTTGCAGCATCTCCAGCAGTGTCAGTTGGATGGACATCTATAGCTTTAGTTCTACCATCCAAAAAGAAAAATCTACAAACTATGGTACCCAGTCTTTTCATGGCCTGTAAAATAAAAAAATTTTTAAAGGGTGTGAAACGAATTTCTTACATGTTACAATTCTCACTGCTATTTCGACGGAAGATGGTGGAAATTCTCGGACTTTGGCCCTCGTGTTGTTGCAGTTATCTAAGCACCATTGCACAAATTGCGTCACTCGACCACCCTTTTCAAAATTCTTCTTTAAAAATGAAATAAAATAACGATGCAGAAGCTTCGAGGGTTGAAACGCAACAACACAAAGGCAGAGCAACAGCCAAATTCTTTCCGCCCATTCGGGGTTGGGATTGTTCGTTATTTGACGAACGCATTGTATTAAAACTTCATCTCTCAATTCTTCACGCTCTAAAGCGTTGCTTATTATGTTTTGAATTATCATTGTTTCGCGATCTGCATTGAATTCTCCCCTAGAATACTTGCAAAGATCCTGGAAAAGAGTAGCACAGTTAACAGTTTTATATTTTATATATGGAAAGGAAACTCACTCTAAAGAGACTGCAAGCTATGTTAACATTATCAGGGTCGTACATATGAATATGGGAATTAGGTATGCTATTCCCTTTATAATAGGTGACCATTTCGTATTTAGGGATCATTTCCGAAATTTGCCGTTTCCTGGTAAGCGTGGCCATGATAGTACCTTCAGGGCTACGCTCGTGGGAATTGAAATAATTTTGAGCAAATTCAACCATGTCGTGGTACGTTTCTTCCACTTTATTCTCTTTTTCTTTGGATTCGTTAAATTCTTGTATTTTCTTCTCTATCCGATGTTTGCGCCTCTGCTCTTTTTCAGAATTGAAACTGTCGAGGTCCTGCTGCCAAGACTGCGGCTAGTAATAAATATAAAATAATCAAGTCACAAACATACTGACAAAATAAACAATAGAAAAAACAAACTTACCCCTGTGCTACTGCAACGCGATACTGGAGGACTTTGAACAGGTGTATCTGCAGCAACAGGTAACTTAGGGGGTGCCGGCAAAGGAGGCGGAGACACACAAGTACTTTCATCCCTTGGTAAAACAGCTTCGTATATGGGTTCGTCGATCCCTTTTTCCGGTTGTTGAGTCTGCACTTGAACTTCTGTCGTTGTTGTTGTGGTTGTTGGTGGAGAAGTAGTTGCGGGTGGGGGAGGCGGAGGTTCTGTGGGTTCAGGTAGCGTTGGAAGACCTAGTTTAGGTGGTTGAGGGGTCTGTGAGCGTTGCTGTTGTTCTTGAGCTAAACCTTCAAGTTCCTGTTGGATGACAGTTTCCAATTCAATGTCCAAATCTTCAACTAATTCGTTCATTTTCTCCCCTATTTCGTCGATAATGTTGCTGCGTTCTTTAGGGGGCTGAACTTCAGACAGGAAGGCAAATAAATTGTCCAAATCAACCGCTTCGGAGGTTGGCTCTACAAGACGTGGTTTAAGCTGCTCGGCAATCTGGGTGAGGGCTGCAATTTCTCTTCGAGCAGCTCTAAAATAAAAATTAAGGACAAAGTTCAAATACACTTTGGACTTGACACATAGAACGCTTCTTCTTGAAACAAGGGCTCGTTTGTTAAAATAATGTGAAAAAAGCTAAAAAGTATGAATGTCAAATTTTTAATATCGGAGTAAAAATAAATGCTTGCTTCATCTTCCAAGGATTAATAATAGAATATTCTTAATTTTAAATATGTAGGTACTTACTGTTCGCATTGTTCTAGTTCAAGTTTTTTCTGTTCTTCTTCAGCCATTTCGGCTTCTTTTTGAAGTCTCTCCTTTTCGGCCTTTTCTCGTTTCCTCATTTCTTCTTCGACCCTCCTCATTTCCCTTAAAGCTGCGGCTACTTCTCTGGCAAACATACCTCTCAAATTACTCTGTATTACTACGGCAGCCCTTCGCATCCTTAGGAACTTTATTCTCAACTTCCATCCCTTATAAGCGTGCTGTATCTTCAGCACTGCTCCTCTTATCTTCAAATACTCTTTCCTTTTGACATACTTCTTGTAACATTTCTGTATCGTTATCACCGAGGTATTGATAAGTTTATTCCTCTGGTCTTCTAAGGGTTCGTATACGTGATTTCTGAGGAAGACTTTCGTGATACCAATTTGCCATTCGTTTCTTGGTACGTTGTAGCATTCAAGAAGATTGTTGCAAGCATTTCTAGGATCTGTATCTGTATGCATACGCTCTTTGGAGAGGAAGTGGTAACGATTTATGAAATCTGTGAAGGCCATATGGATAGGGTAACCATCTTTTCTGATACGAATAATGTCTAACATGCCCAGATATTTCAGTTGATCAAGTACCAGGGAATCATCGTACTGATCGGGTTGTTTATGAGCGTTTGGTTTAATGCATCTCACATACCATGGAGTGGTTGATTGGAGGACGTCTACCAAAGCCTGTAGTTGATGCCTGAAAGTGTCTGATACTGTAGGCTTCCCTTTGCTGGTTCCCCTCGACACGGTTGAAGTACCTGAAGCTATAATGGGAACATCAATAAAAAGACAAAAATAAAACTAGTCAATATTTAGTTTATTTAATTGTTTTATTGATAAATTTAGTGACTATATGAGAAACAACTTCTTAACTCTGAAGTAGTATTATACGTTCCCTGTATGTACTAGTGCAAATATTTTGATGTTATTATATTTGTCAAATGGGTTTGTTCTCCTTATGAAATAAAATAAATAAATAAATTAATTATAAAAAAAATGGAACAGTTAGTATCTTTTTCAGAAAAAAAATAGCCATCGTTATCCAAAAAATTAAGAATATAGACAAAATTTTCCAAACAAAATAAAAGTTAGCTTATTTTAAAGAAAAAAAATAATATTCATATAGAATTCTACAAGAAAAGGTTAAATTTTCTTTTTATTAACATACCAACTGTCCTAAAGGTTGTAGATCCTCCCAAATCCTGATACTTGGCTAATTCTTGGACAAATTCGTTACTACTTTTTGAGATTACATCGAAAAATACATCTTGTTGTACGTCCCTGTTCTTATCTACAAAACCCTTAACATTGTAAGTCACCAAACCGGCGTAGTGGCTTATACCGAACTCAGTTTCCCACTTTCTTCTATCTTCACCTTAAAAAATATTGCGTTTCAATGAGAGAGATATTATTATTAAATTTATGATTATTATTATTTTCGTTACCTTTAACATATCGTTCGTGATTTTCAAATTCACCGTGTAAATTTGAAATAAATGAAGCATCACAACCCTTTGGTAAATGGCACTGCTCAGATAATAACCGTAAAATACACCTAGGAGGTTTTTCTAACAATTCCAAGCATAATGTATTATCGGTGAATGTTATGTGACTAAATTTTATAAATTCTTGTTCGTACTAGAAGAAAAAATATTATCACTTATTGACACATCATGTCATCAAAATCACCATACAATAAATATAATTCTTACGCCGTTCGATACTTTATAAATTTTTAAGGCATTGTATCATATTTCTTATCGAGATTTTTTTAATCTGATTGGTAATAAAAGATTAAAGTATCTACCAAAACAGAACATGTTTTTTTGCTGCAAAAAGGAGTTGTATCCTTGTTACAAAAGAAAATATCAATCCAATTTTAAGCTTTATAATAACTTGCAGTAATTGCGGTTAATTTTGATAGCTTTACTTCAATTTTTAATTAGCTATGAATTGAAAGGAAAAAAATCGAAGGATTTCATCAAATGGGAATTGTAGCTTTTGGGGAGTATGCTTGTGGACGAGGTTCTTTTACTTACAATTTCTTGTTCCAAGGCAAAGACGTAGTGATTAAAAAATTTGTGTAATTTTTCGTTGGTGTAATTGATGCAGAGTTGTTCGAAAGAGTTAACGGCAAAATTTTCGAAGCCGAAAATATCGAGGACACCAAGGAAGCGCGTGGAATCCTGTCCAGGATTTGTGCAAGTGTTGATATTGTTAATGAGCCAGGCAAAAGTTCGAGAATACAGAGCTTTCGCCATTGCGTGTCTATTTTCTCTCGCCTTAAACATAAACAATTGTTGTAGGTACAAACGACAAACAGATCGAGGAGAAAAGTACAATATACACTTACTTCCTGTAATTTCAATGGTATTTCCGTGATGTTTCCTCTTACGTTTATTTGTCTCCTGAGAACCACTTGCGTGAGATCTATTACGTCCATTCCTAACAAACTGGCCACAACACTGAGAATTTCTTTGTCTTCGTTAGTTAATTGACATTTTTCGCCGTCAATATCCTTTATAAGATTAAAAAAATGTTGAGAAAATTGCCTACGACTGCGATGAGGGGGTATTCCATATAAAATCAAAGCTTTACTTTTCCGTTGTTGTGATGATTTACTGGTTGTTTTGCAATACACGGTATTTTACTTTAATTTATTGTTAGACATTAAAATATTTCAAAAGTGAACTTGTTTTTTGGAAAAATTATTTCCTATGTGAGTATAGTCTCTATAAAAATTCGGAATTTAATTTTGGAAATTTTAGTTTTAAAAATTAGCAATTGCTAACTTCCAACAACATCGAATAAATAAATAAATGGTTAAAGTACAGATGATACGATCTTCTCCTTCTGTAGGGTTTTCTCATTCTCGAAGGGGATAGAGGGAAATCACTACTCATCAAAATCTAATCTTTTGTGTGTTAGGGGGGGGGGTGGCATCTTTTGTCCACCATAACCTAATCTATTGTCAGTTATTTGTGTAGGGAGAGCGCAGGAACATTTACCCGTCATGGTTTAGTCTTATCAACCAAAGAGAAAAGATATATAGTTATGGTGGGTAAAAGTTCTTTCCTCTGCCCATAAAAAAGGGAAAAAGGATTATGCCATGGCGGACAAAACTCCCCTCTCTTCCCCACACAAAAAAAATGAGAAAACTCGACCGATAATTCCATCATCTAAATTTATTTATTCGATGCATCACCTAAAAATATTTTGTTAATGTCCTACAAGGCCATCTCTACCCTCCCCTCTACATATTCTATCCTTTCAGATCGACAGTTACTTCACATATACAATTTTTAATTTTCATCTTCATCCCCTGGTTTAATATATGAAGCAAAGATGTGTCTCCCCAATCTTAATCCATTTTTACTCCTAGAAGCCCCAATTTCAAATAATTACGCCAGATTCTTATTTTAGATCATTATATTTTGACACAAACATCCGGTGAATTATTGCGAACATCGGAAAAATAAAGGATCGATTTCATATGTGGAAAAAATTATTATCTTACTTGAAATTCTAAATTTCCCAGCCACAGAATTGCAGAAAGAGTTTGAAATATTCCAAAAGACATAGAAGAAGGAATCTGCAAGACGTTAAACGCTAAACGAAGGCTGTCCAACTTTTTAGATTCGCCTTCGATCTTTTCGCAACTAGATTGATTTAAATATTTATAAAACCCGGCATCCTTCAAATGTAACTGATTTTGGAACTCTTTATTGTGCTAGAAACGTAAAAATGTGGAAACAACGGCAACCCCAAGCTTCAAAATCGAAAAATACCTTTGCGCCCTCAACTAAATGATAAAAGACGTGATAGTTTCTTTCACCAGGACCTTGAAAGGTTATTCTAGATTGTTCTAACAAATAATCTTGCACAATACACCCTGCAATCATCCATCGGGAATCGAAACAAACTTGCATGAATTTGCCAAATCGACTGGAGTTATCATTTCGAACAGTTTTCGCATTTCCTGCAAACATTACCTAGTAATAAATTTCCATTAAAAAAATGTTGAAAACTGCTAATCGTACCAAAAGCTTCCAAAATGGTGTTGGCTTCCAATATTTGCTGTTCCACCCAAGCTGAAACGCCACTTGTTACCGAACACAGATATTGAAGAATGAAACGTGTATTTTCGGTTTTCCCGGCCCCACTTTCTCCACTTATTACTAAACTTTGGTTCATGTTGTCGCTTCCGGGAATGTCGCTTTGAAGAGAAGCGTACGCAGCTTCTGCTAAGGCGAACACATGGGGCTCCAAATATCCCAACTTTTGTCCTTGGTATTTGGTCACATAATTCTTCAAGAAGAAAAATCATAAGAAAGGTGATTACACATTGCAGTGTTGTTATGCTAGTGTTGGACTAATATGTAATCACAATGTTAAAGTGTTTTTTCTAAGTTATTGGTCAAAGTTCATTCAGTAAACTAGCAAAATACTGCCTATATCAACTTTGATATAATGTGTTGAGATGCGAGATATTTTTCTTTTGTTGTAACGATTATGAAAAAATTGCAGTAAATAAATATCTATAGGGTTGTTCGGAAAGTCATTTCGTTTTTTTTTTGTGGAAATGAAAGACAGTTTTCGTATAATAAACAAATACTTTATTAAATTATATATTGACCGTTCTGGTCCAACACCTTTTGCCATCTTTCTGGTAGTAGCATAATTCCACGCTCATAAAATTTTTGGTCTTTGCTGGCAAAAAACTGATCGAGGAGGTTTTTGACCTCCTCATTTGAGGTGAAGGTTTTACCGTCTAAAAAATTTTGGAGTGACCGGAACAAATAATAATCCGATGGTGCCAGGTCTGGAGAATATGGTGGGTGTAGCATTGTATCCCATTCAAGCTGTAAAAGCTTTTGGCGAGTGACCAAACTTGTGTGAGGTCTCGCGTTGTCTTGGTGAAACACTACACCTTTCCTGTTGATTAGTTCTGACCTTTTCTGTTGAAGTGCATCATTCAGTTTGTCCAGCTGATGACAGTAGACTTCCGAATTAATCGTTGTGTTATCCGGTAAAAGCTAAAAAAAAACGATTCCTTTAAAATCCCACCAAACAGACAGCATCACCTTTTTTTGGTGAATATCGGCTTTGGAAATGGTTTGAGCCGGTTCATCTTTTTTGCTCCATGACCTCTTGCGTTTGACGTTGTTGTATACAACCCATTTTTCGTCCCCAGTGATGATGCGCTTCAAAAACGGATCATTTTCGTGACGTTTGAGAAGCGAATCGCAGACGTCAATGCGGCGACACAGATTTCTCTCTGTGAGAACATGGGGAACCCATACATCGAGCTTCGAGGATAATCCCAGGCCTTTCAAGTGGTCATAAACTGTTGAATTTGATAAATTTAACCTCAATCCGATCTCACGTGTTGTTATTCGCCGGTTCACATCAACTAATGCCTTTATCGCGTCTTTATCAGCTTCAACCGGCCTTCCCGAACGTGGTGCATCTTCGACATCAAAATTGCCGGATCGAAATTTAGCGAACCAGTTCTGGCACTGGCGTACTGTCAACACACCTTCTCCATACACATCAGTCAATTTCTTTCTGGCTTGAACAGCATTTTTACCCTTATAGTTGTACAACAACTGTTATTTTGTTATTCTCTGCTTATCGCTCTCCATATTTAAAAGGGCACCAACCAAAAACTACTGCGTAGAATTAATTGGAATTTTTCACACACAAGCCTTGCTATATGAGCCCTCAAAGCATATAAATGTGAAGTTGGGTGCAAAAGAATACAATTAAATTCTCTGTCGGGAAAAAACGAAATGACTTTCCGAAAACAACCCTATAGTTGAAGAAAACAGCGCTCGGATGGATGTTATCTTGTACAGTACCATACATGTTTTTTTAAGTTGGGAACGAACAAGTGCATAGGGAACTGAAAATTGAAAATGGGATAAACGGTAATTGTTAAAAGGGGGCAGCAGTTGGAGGAGGAGAGGGAAGAATGACCTCGTAGAATACAAAAGTTAGTTGGGGCAGAGGGGCAGAAGCGTGACGATAGACTTGAAGAATTAAACAAAAGTGGAGGCTGTGGAATTTTATTAAGGTCCACATTCTTGTAAACAAAAGCAAGTGTATGATTACTCACTTCGTTTGTGTTGACTTTTCCTACCGTAACTATCAAATAAAAATACATTCTTAGGTAAAAGATAGGGTAGGTTAGGTTAGCTCATGCTTCCTTCAATGGCTTGCACTCATTTACAGGAATGTGTATCTAATAAAAAAACACAATCCTCACTTTTTTAACCGTCGCAATGGAATCATTGGCGTCCATCTACGCCAATCCGTTCTTCGACATTCTCAATCATCTATTTATTGTTTATTTTTATGATTGTTCAGTTCCATTTCCGCGCATCTACAACATTCGACAAATGGCGAGCTCATATACACAACTATAATCAATTTCCAATTTTCAGTTCCAGCCCCTACACCTCCACGTGTTAGCCCCCAACTAAAAACATACGTATGGTGCTTTACAAGATAACCCTAGACCCGTTTTCTGCCCACCTGAACGAAGGTTCTTAAATTTAGACATTTACCAAAATTGTTTCTTTAAATAAATAATTTACAAAAGCTTGATCGCAATTTTTCTTTTCATGACTGAATCGATATCACCTTGATTGCTTCTTGCGAGGCCCTTAATCCCAAGAGAATCTGAATGTAAAGGTATCCATTAAATATTATATAATAATGTGTTTTCTATAGGATCGGATGTTAACAATTCAAATTAATTAGTTTAAATGAACATTTTTTTTTATACAGAATTTAATTTTAATGTTGTAAACTTACTAATGATTTAAAGTTTGATAATCTCTTAAACAAAGTTTGAAATTCTCAAGATGCAGTAGACCCTCGATAGTGTGAACCGGAAAAAAACCGGTCATGTTAACGAATATTATATGCAATATGCAATAAAACATGTAATTTTTGATTACTGCGTATTTTTATTTTTGGTAAAATAGTAATAAAAAGCAAAGATTTAGAAAATGGGCATTCGTAGTCATTTTTTAATTTAACAATTTATGTACATATATTTATTCCTTTATTGTTTTTTTGTTCATTATATAAATGTCTAAAAAATGACGTTGGTTTGAAGTCGGCGAGTGTTTTTGTTTATTAACAGATTTTATTCAAAATTAGAAAAACGATCTTTTTCTTGGGAACAGAACGGAAACACTTAGTAGAAGCTTGAAACTTTCGTTGCTCATTACCTAATTAATTGCCATTTTTACATCATTGAAACAATGCCAGAAAATTCAAAAAAATTTTTGAATTTCCTATATCGTTGGAAAAAATCGCTACAAAACAGTGATAAGCAAAGCAAGTTCAACACCAAGACTGTCCCAATCTTGGTATTGGTCTTGCATATTCGGTCTTAATCTTTGTTTTGCTTAAATACTTCTAGTCTTGGTCTAGATCTCGCTGATACAATCTTGGTATTGGTTTTGGTCTTTCTTTGTCGGTTTTGGTATTGCTCAAACACTTGTAATCTTGGTATTGGTTTTGGTCTTTCTTTGAAGGTTTTGGTATTGCTCAAATACTTGTAGTCTTGGTATTGGTTTTGGTCTTTCTTTGTCGGTTTTGGTATTGCTCAAATATTTGTAGTCTTGGTATTGGTTTTGGTCTTTTTTTGTCGGTTTTGGTATTGCTCAAATACTTGAGTCTTGGTATTGGTTTTGGTCTTGATCTTTTTTTTCAGTCTTGCTCTTTTTAAACCAATAAATAATATTTACGAACTCTGAATGGTTTTTTTGATTTTTTGACTCGGTTTCAAAAGCATATTTTGCAAATAAGGTTTTATAAGTCGCGTAAAAAAAGGCAATTCCACAAAAATTGCTACAAAATTGGTAGAAATCAATATGTATGAAATCTGAACTAAATAACCAGGTTATATTTTCAACAACACGCCCTAGTTTTTTAATTGATATTAATTGTATTCACCGTCAATTTAAATAATTGAATTCGACGAAACAATTTAACGCGTTCATGGAAATGAAAATAAATTGTAGTAGTCAGAAGTATTGCGTTCTGATTTAATTATGGTTGAAATGTCCAGCGCACCCACCAAATTTTCATAGGGCACGTTTTTGGAAGGAAGAATACGTATTTGACAAATACATAAAATGAGAGGGACTAAGGGTCTAAAAAAAGAGTATGGGATACAACAGTTTGTGTATTTAATTAAACAATTCCACTAATTTTCGTAACCAAAAAAAAAAATACTTTTAGGGTTCCGTATTTTAAAAGGAAGAAATGAACATATAGGGTCACTTCGTTGTTCGTTCGTTTGTCTGTCTAGCAAGATCCTTTTTCTTAGGAACCCGTGGAGGTTTCAAATTGAAAATGATATTAAATACTCAAGTCTACAAAACCTCCGAGCTGTGAAACAATTAAGTTTCCAAGTCAACGCAATTAAAAGATACGGCTGTTTATACCGAATATTTTAACACTTGCAAGGGAATCAAAATCTATAGGATAATTATCTTTGACCAAGAATCATGAAATTTGATAAAAAGCAATGTTTCCTAGCACAAGTAAAAAAAAAAAAACCAAAAACCGTGCCGGTTTGTATCCGAAATATGTCCCCGCGGCTTTTTCGATTTGCCCTTGGGGGAATCG